CCATTTTTTTTACCCAGTGGCCATTCTGAAACCGCCGATCAGCTGGCCGAAAATTGTCATTTTGCGAGAATCGGTTCCCGAAGCAGGGAACCGATCATCGCAAAGTGAAAAAAACCCATCATAAAGCGATCGCTTTTGCGATCACAAAAAGTTTGTCGTTATGCGATTTTGTCATTAAACGGGGCGCTCATCTTGTGAGGCACCACTGTACCAAATTATTATATTGAGAAAAAGTGGTGTTCTCTGGTTTGTATGGGTTTTTTTTGTACTGAACAAGTTCTCATCTTCACTCCTTGACTTCTCTCATATATAAAATTCACATTTAACCTACTTCAGAGCCTTAATATCACACCACTGCCTAAATGTAATCTGGATATAAACTCTACCTTTTCAAAACATCTAAATGCACAAAGGCCTGAACCTTCCTAGATACTCATAGGAGTATGTAAGTGTACTTTGAGAAAAACAGATCAGAGAGACAAACAGACAACACTGTTATTGTCTCTTGAAAGCTTTCCAGACTCCCCACCTGAGATACTTTACAAATTGCTTTGCATATATGGTACATCTGAGACCCCTTTGAACTAAAGTGAGAGAAAGATTAGGTCTCCAGCATGCTGGGTTGGCACTAACCTAGGTGGAGCTAGTAATGGTAGATATGGGTTGCCTGAGGAATAAAAGGGTAGCATTCAGACTATAAATAGAGGGAAATAGGAACTGGAGTGTGAAGTGAGCATTGCTATAGTTTAGGGAAAAAACAGGTTGACTGCTGAGACCAGACTATGTCTACCATAATAGGGAATTCCAGTACTAAAAATGCTGTCAGGCAGGGTGAGAACAGACTCAGAGAAACAAAGGGTAAAGTATCACTCCAGTGGGTTTTCTCTCAAAGCAAAGACAATGGCTGAAAACAGGGTGAGGAAAAGAAGATAGACATGGAGGAATTCTGGAGCACAAGATAAAAACTATTACTTTTTGTAGTCCCAGAATTTCCTGGTCAAAGTGGCATTGACCCTGTTCACCAAAGGATTCTGTGACTTGTAGTAAAAAATACAAGTGACCCTTATTTTGGGAGAGGTTTCTTCCATACAGTATCCTAGCTTTCATTGTGGTACAGTAGGAAAGGATGGGATTTTCATGGTAATACATTTTAAACAACATAAAGCCTTGGTTGCAGAGCAGCAAAATGCTGATAGACCAAGAGACCAAGATCGGAAAGGCATCCAGCCAGGTCAGCAATACCACCTAGGTTGGATCTTGCAAATACACTCAGTTTCATATAGATGAATGAGTTTTAATTAAGCAGGAATGAAACATGAATGGTAACTAGAGGACTGATGAAAAAGCCAGGTTAACACAGTCTTAATTTTCATCAGCTATTCTGATGACAAACATTTCAGAATACTTGTACTATCTGCAGTGAGGGCTGACCCTAGAGGCCAGAGACAATACTGTATGTAGAACAGTTGGCACTTTTGTACAATTAATAAGCACACACACAGCACACTGCCAGAACTGTAAGGAACATGAAAAAAGGGAACTAACAAAGCACACCTTATAAGTGTTTACTTATTAGTAAGTCTCATTATGTTCAGAGGGACTTACTCCTAAATAAGAGTGCATAGGATTGCATTCTAAATTGTACTGATTTATTTAAAATATTTAAAGTATTTGTATACCATGTTTCCAACTGTTAGGGCTCCCAAGGCTAAAAGAAGTTAAGGGATACTAATCAACCCCTCCACCCCCATTATCTGAAACAACTAAGTGATTGGTGTGGATGCTGGGAGAGAAAGGTGAAGAAGTTTGCCTGAATCCAAGAAATGATATTTGGACATTAATTGGTACAAATAATAAATAACTAAATACTCTCTTCAGCATTGAAGTGAATTAATTTCTTGTCCTCAAAAAGGAGACCTGTCGAATTTGTATTTACATGGCATTTACAGTTGATCAATTCATTTAAAAAGAAATAAACTCTATTATTAGAATTAAAATCTAAGTTTAAACCTACAAATTAAAATGAAAATATAGTTGGCTAAATTGAAATGCTTTTCTAGTACTGAAATTTTATATTTCACATTTTAAACAATTTTTATAAAAATGGCAATTTCCAGAACCCAAAAAAACTCTTCCAGCTTTCCCTTAATAAAAGTCCAATATTCCAAACTGCATTTGTCTGCAAGATGAGCATAAAATTACCAAGTACAGATTCCATTGGCCATAACTAACATATGCAAAAATAATTTAACTACAAAGAGAAATAAAAGCAGCAGTACAGAGGTTTTGAAAACAGCCCATCTTGAGGGCCACTATAATCTTCCTGTGTAAGAAACAGTGGAGGAGAAAAATGCAGTGAAATTGACGATGTCCTGACAAGTACGAAGAAAACCATAAAGGAAAGGGTTGTTCAAAAGACAAATACACTCTAGTCCTGCTTTCCAAGGACACTGAGGGCATAAACTCTGAAGGATCTGCTGTGACATTGGACTACAAGAGTGTAACTAAAACTGGTGGCACTGAGCTTGACGTTGCTAAATTAGGGTGACAATGAGCCCTCTTTTGTGAAGGGATAATATTTTAATCTTAGAATGCTGGCTCTTAACTTGCTCTTGACTTCTACCAAATTCAGGACGAATTTAGCACAGCATTTGAACTACAGCTGCTGAAAAACGGAAAGTGGAACAATAGTGCATACAGTTGTGGAATGTACCATAGAGAATCTGCAGTCAATGAAAATGTATTCAGTACTGCAAATAAAAGATGTGCATTGTCTGTGTAGATCTTCTGATCTACATATATCTAGTGCATGTCTAAAAAACTGAAAATATTGTTGAACTAGGAAACTTCACTGCTGCCAATTTGAAGCACATATCTGAATCCTCTGTCCCTCAAGAGAAGATGATTTACCCTGTTGGTGCTCCTGGATCTCTCAGTGGCTTTTGATACTGTCAGCCATGACATCCTCTTTTGGGGTGTCCTCAATTTCCCCAATGCTGTTTAACATTGATGTAAAACTGCTGTGGGAGGTCATAAGGAGATCTGGAGTAAGCTGTCATCGGTATGCTGATGGCATGCAGCTCTTATCGTTCCTTTACATCCTTTGCAGTGGATGAGGTCCGGACTCTAGAGCATTGCCTGGCTTTGATCTTGGAATGGACCAGGGTTAACTGGCTGAACCTGAACCTGGACAACACAGAGATTTTGTTCCTGAGGGGGGGGTCCCCTCAGATAGGCTGCATGGGATTACCCATAGGTTGCATGGCACTGTCCTTCCATTTAGTGATCAGGTGGATAATCTGGGTGTGCTTTTGGATCCAGCACTGTTTTGGGATTCCCAGATTGCAGCCACATTTAGATCAGGCTTTACTCAGATGACACTCATAAACCAACTCTTCCCTTACCTAGACAAGGGAGCCCTCAGGACATTGGTGCACACATTAGTCATCTCCTGGATCGACTACTGTAAGGCTTCCCTCGAGGCTTGCCTGGAGACTGCAACAGATCCAGAAAGCAGCAGCCAGACTAATGACTGGTGTGAGCAAATTTGATTGCATCTCCCCAGTTCTGGCTTGCCTTCAAGGTTCTGATGCTTACATAGAAAGCCCTTCATAGTTTGGGAGCACAGTATTTGTTACAGCACCTTTTCCCAAGGTCATCTACCCACTCCACCAGATCCTCCCAAGCAATGCTCCTTCAGGTGCCCACTCTGAAGGAGGCCAGGAAATCAACTAAGAGGAGCTAGGCCTTCTTCGCTGTGGCACCAACACTCTGGAATAAGCTCACAGTGGAACTGTGCTTGCCTCCCTCCCTCCTAACATTCAGAAGGCTTCTGAAGACTTGACTTTACAGAGAAGCCATCCAATACAAACTTGACTGGTTTTTATGGCTTGTGCGCTGCCCTGTATTTGGAATCATGCCTCTTGTTGCATCTGATTTTATCTGTTGGTCAGTTTTATGCAATTTCTTTGTTGCTGTGTATTATTAATTGCTATAACTGCCCACAATAGTGCTTTGTATAAATGGGGTGGAATAGAAATCAAATCAAATCAATCAATATTTTTGTGTGCTAATATAATAAGAGTTACAGTAATATGAGTGTCACTAGTGCTGTCTATGAAAGATCTTCCACCAGAGTCACCTTCTTTTACTACTGCTGTCCAAAAGCTGCCCTTCAATCATTTCTCCATCCCATTATTATTAGGACTATCAGTTTTCTTCTGTTGATGCAACTGCTGTATTAGTTTCTGCTGAGGATGGGTACATTTTAGTGTTAGTCTGAGCTTTGATCTCCCCGCCTTGGGTGATCCTGCCATGAATCTAGACTAGTAATGGAGTTCTAACATCCTGACAGTAGCTTTCATGAAAACACTCAAATCTCATTGCCATGCTAAGATGCAACTCTAAGAGTGAAGGCACAACTGTTAATGCATCCTTTTACAGAAATCCTACTTTACAATGAGATGTAAGAACTAAACAATACATATGCATATGTGAAAAATCACTGTAGTAATACTCTAAAGTAAACCCCAGCCCAGTGAACAAGTATACTCTTAGCTAAATCTTGTAAGTAATGCTATTTATTACCAGAAATGCATTTAGAACCTGAAAGAAGCCATGATCTTCAGCTGAACACCTAATCTATACTACAAAAATCAAATGTGAAAAATCAACAATGTTGTTTGCTTTGAAGCGTGTCTTAAAGTATTTTAGCAATGCCTCTGTGTATTTCAATTGTTAAAAATAAAGGTATTTGAAGAATAATTTTAAAGGTTTCTCAGAATAAATTGCAACTTCCTCCTTTAAAAAAAAATTACTTCTATCTATGTTATATATGATAACTTGCCGGTTTCATCCTTCATGCAATTCCACTTTATTAAAGAGGTTAAAAATTTACAAAACTCTGATGGGATATGGTTTTAATGCTTCATCACACTACCCATCATTTGCTTTTCAATCTAGATCAGAATGATCTTTTCTACTTCCCTGCAATCACCTACCTGCACAGCTAATATTTTCTGAACATTCTCATGAGAGGCTGCCTGGAACTTCGCCAGCCCAGCTTGGCTACAGAGGGCTCGCAGTTTGAAGTACTCCACCAATGCTCTGTGCAGCTTCCTCTGCAGCTGAGAGAGCTAAAAGAGGAAAGGGGAAAAAATAAGAGTGGGAGAGGAAATTAATGGCAGTGTTCAAGAAGAATGATGGAGGGAAATATAGAAAGCAGTCAATAGCCCATTCTGCACTGTACAGACCTGACAGGAATTTCACAGTCTCTTGATTTTTCAGCCCACTCATGTGCATTCATCAGAAACCAGTCACATCTGGCTGCCAGGATGGGGGGTTAATTTTCTCTAAATGCCTCAGCAGTTTTGTTCTAGCTGAGGCAAACTCTGTGACTGCAAAGCTGATGAGTAAAATATTTCTACTTCACCCAGTTTAACTCAAAACCGATAGCCTCGGGACATATTGAACCTTTCTTAAAAAAATAATCTTTTGAAGCATTTTGAATGGCACATCAGGTCAGGCCAAAGTTTAAAACACAAGTTTAAGACTTTGATGGACATTGTGGCTCATTTTTCCTTGTAAAGCTTATCATAGCTTGGCTATGTGTGCTCCAGAGCATGACAAAACTAAAGAGAATTAACTTCACCATCAGCAGCTGAGGGAGAACAATAACAGGAAAGAAATTTCCAGATAGAACTCCCTATTAATCAACCTAGCTATAGCCATGTGACATGACGGCACTAAATTGCAGTTAAGGCAGCAGCTGAAAGTGATACTACTATATCTATATATCTGTCTCCATTCATGCACATGTACATGTGCATATATACAGACAATTGAACATTTCAATGAAGACCAGAAATGTGGGCCTTCTCCCTGCTAGGAGTATTTGTGCATATAATATAGATCATTATGGAAAAAATTTAAATGCATTGTGTTAATTTTTATTTGTTTTAACCTCCACAAAACAAAACAAAACAAAAATATACACAGAAGACATTCTCAAATCTCACATATCAGTTTTACCTATTGTCTCAAAAATCCATTGAGAACATACATGCTTTTATAATCTGACATTCACTTTAAGAATGAATAATTTTTTTATCTTATTCTAGGATTGGTAATCAAATCTATGTTAAATGAGGTGTGATTTGGATTTGCTTTTCCTAAATGGTGGCTTTCTATGCCACATGACAAACCACAGTTCAAACTGAAGAAATGTTAACAAGCAGATTACAACATAGTGACGATCAAATGTGACTCACGGTCCAAATAGGGGGCTCACCTCCATATTTCTAGGTGCAATGTCCCCTACTCAGATCACAAGCCATTTAGGGTTATGGTGTTAGGGTATGGATCTTGGCTATGTCTAACACAGCTGTATGGATCTTAGCAATATTTGTTTCACCTCAGAGAAGAAAATAGTGGTATTCTCTAGAAAGTGGCAGATAAAACAAACCTTATTATATAATTTCTTTTAAAAAACCCAACACACATTAGTCATGCTATAATAGACTGAGAAAGTGTCAGTCACTATGGTCAGTACAGTACATGACCTTTCTAAGCAAGCTTGTCAACCAAATTAAAACAATGGGATAATACTTATTTGGATATGTTTATTCAAACTACAGCAAGTTCATGAAGAAAACTATCTTTTACACCAAAGATAGGGAAAATTATGGCCAATGTTTTTTCAATTGCTTATTTTCAAACTGTGCTCTATACAATTTGAGTAGAAAGACTAGTAAAATTAACAGAATAATGAAGTAGGAGTGTAAAATTTCATGGCCTTTTCACAAATAATCAACATGCAGTTTCTTTTGGTACCAGTACAAAATTGACTGTTATGGAAATAGGTATAATGCTGAATAATAATGTTACACAATATACCATGTTTTAGAGTGTTCTGTGGAGTTCAAATACATTCATTGGCTGACATGTTCACTAAGTAGTGTATATGATAAAAGTTAATCAGATGAGAAAATATATGAATGGACATGCTATTTCTTGTCCAACTCTGACATAAAGTCAGCCGTTTTCAAAGAAGAACACTGGATGTTGAGCCAAATATGGCTGCATTTTCCACATTGTAAAATTTAGTCAATTAGCCGTAGTTGTTTTCATAGGCTGTGATCCAAAAATTGTATTTGGATGTATGCAAGGCCTAAAGTGCATCCAAAAGAATTCCATCATCATGTTGGCTGAGGTGGATGGGAGTTGTGGTTCAGGTAGCAAAAGGTTGCATAAAGGCCAAGGATTTCAGTAACTGTGCAAGTAGATTTTCATGGCTAAAGGTAATTAAGTAGCAAAACATTTCAATCTAATAAGAAAGATGTCCAGTTGCCATGCCTCAACATCCAGATAACCTCACCTGGATGACTGAGAATCTTCACAGATATAAGGATAATTGAGATTTGTGTCTAATTAAGAGTACCCTACCACAGTCTGCTTTTGGAACTCCTGTTACTTCCCAAATTATTTTGTTGCACATCATGCAAGGACGTAAAGGTAAAGGTTCCCCTTGACAATTTTTGTCCGGTCATGTTCGACTCTAGGGGGCAGTGCTCATCCCCGTTTCCAAGCCATAGAGCCAGCGTTTGTCCAAAGACAATCTTCTGTGGTCACATGGCCAGTGCGACTTAGACACGGAACGCTGTTACCTTCCCACCGAGGGGGTCCCTATTTATCTACTTGTATTTGCATGCTTTCGAACCGCTAGGTTGGCAGGAGCTGGGACAAGCGACAGGCGCTCACTCCGTCGCGTGGATTCGATCTTACAACTGCTGGTCTTCTGACCCTGCTGCAGGGTCTAAGTCACACTGGCCATGTGACCACAGAAGATTGTCTTTGGACAAACGCTGGCTCTATGGCTTGGAAACGGGGATGAGCACTGCCCCCTAGAGTCGAACATGACCGGACAAAAATTGTCAAGGGGAACCTTTACCTTTACGTCCTTGCATGATGTGCAACAAAATAATTTGGGAAGTAACAGGAGTTCCAAAAGCAGACTGTGGTATAGCATTGGTTTCTCTATATTGAAAATCAGGAAAGATTTTAAATCTTACTGGTGACTCTAGATCCAAGTGAAGTGACAGAAATCTGTATTTCTGTATTTGTTTCAATAAGATGGGTTAACAACGTAGCCAATGCTTTACAAAATTTCACAGACGGAAAATGGTGGGAGTAGAGATTCTTCTCTGCAGAGAGCTTATTTATTTATTTATTTATTTATTTATTTATTTATTTATTTATTTATTTATTTATTTATATGCCGCCCACATTACCCAAAGGTCTCTGGGCGGCTTACAACATTTAAAAAACAATAAAAGTCAGAACAATTAAAATGCAATTAATATATATATATAAAAATTGCCATCGGACCCACAGCTAATATCATTTCAATTAAACAAACAGGAATGCAAGGAGAACATGGGTAGGGAAGTAGGAATGTGAGATAACATAAATTGGTTCAGTTGGTAGTTGATGAGGGGTTAAATCAAAGGCCATGCAGAAAATGCAACCTTTCTAAATCAACCTTTTCTCTTCCAAAAAATAATTAAATGTATCAGAAAATCCTACATGTACCATATTAATTTAATAATGCAGTGTGATGCCATGTACTAAATAAATGTTATAAGCCGTATCAGTACTATTCATTTCAACTCAAACACTGACAAAACAACTCAGCAAATTCTGGCATTGTAAGAATGGCAGAATTATGAGCAAAATATAGCTAATATTTATCTTTTAATACTACTCTACTATTCCAAGTGAGTAGGTAAAAAGATATTTCTTTATTATCAAATCTGTTCCACCAAGGATTGTTGTTAAAGATTTTATAGCTCATTTAAATAAAGCTCTTTAGTCAACAACCTGTATATACTTTAGGAATGAATAAAAACCTAATGGAAGTAGTGAAGAAAAATAGCATTTTCATCTTTTAACCTTACCGGAGCACTGAGTGCTTTGAGAAGAGCAGCAATATTTAAATAATGATAAGACATGAAATATTTTAAGATCTAGAAGTGCAATTTTCTTACAGGATTTAACATTTTTAAAATAATAAGGGAACTTTGTGTGTAAAAGTAACTTGCAGATTTGGTAAAGAAAATCCAACAGCATATTTAATCAAACCCACATTTTATGACCATTTGCCAGTCCACTTTGTGGAGGGAAAACCAAATTTTGTTAAACAGGTACTCTGAATTGTTCAAATAATTAGATTTTAAATATTTGATCTTTATTATTTATCTTATCTTTGTGTTATGTCTTTGAAATGATTATGAATTCCATTGCAGGTTTTCTTACACAAACGTTTCTGAACATAATAAAAAATAAGCTGGTGAATTTTGACTTGCTACATATATACTTTTCATACACTTCCTTTTTACACAAGCAGGCTAGAATCCTTTATATGAGCATATAATATCAGTTATGCAAGCAACAGGCATTTCGCTGTCTCTCTGCTGCATACTCTGTAGTCTTCCAGACATGGAAACAGGCACACCACCAACAGTCAACAAATTGTTAAAACCATGCTGTCACATGCACAGTATTTCACAATTTTGATTGCAATGTTTTGGTCATTGAAAAGTAAGCAAAAATAAATTTAATTCTAAAAGCTTTCCACCTCCCATTTGGGTGAGAGGCAGTTACATTTTTGTCAGAGTAGTAGATTTTTTTAATTGAACAAAAACATACAGATAGAGCCAGTGCACACTTCTCAGTACTCTCCTCAGTGTGTTCGTTCTTATTTGTTCATTCTAATGAATGCATATTGAGTTCATGAGGCAAATAAAAGTGTAGGCCACTTACATAAAGGTATTCATGGCTTCATAAAATATTTGATCATAACCAGATATTGCCAATGGTAGGAAGAAATTGACAGGATACTTGCCAATACTAGGCTTGTTAATTGACGTCTGTCACAACATTACCTGATTTTTAATCCCCCCCCCCATGCCAATAACAGTTTGGCAATAGTTAGTGAATTGTAATTGTAATGACTAGTGGTTAATTCTCTGTGTTTCCTGAAACTTTTAAGAAAACTGACTAGGATAATTTCTGGTTCACGTGGTTCTATAGGAAACAATGTATGTCTCCAAATCATTACTATGGATACACCTTCATA